CCTACAGATAAATCTAGATTTAGGGTGAAAATATATATGTTTCATAGTAACATTAAAATTGCTTTATGAAGGAACCAGGTTAAAAAGAAAAAATACCACTGTACATATGCATAGGCGAACTAATACTGCTGTTTCAAAATTTTGCAGAATAGTGAAATTTTTGTAGTCCTACAACCCAATTGCGGTTTTCATAGCTTCAGTTGTTTCTCAGCAGATTCAAAACCATATTGTTTTCCTTAGTGCATAGAATACAAAAAAAACACCATAGTTTATTTTAGCCAGAATAGCTTTTATTTTTTTCTTCTGTAGATTTGTTTTAGATGTTTCATCTCGCTATGGTCAGTTTGTCAGCATTTATTACCTGCTTCCCTCTGTCCTTTGGATTTTTAAGTGCATGTCTCACTAAAATTGACTCATTAATAGTAGTAACTGCTTAGCTAAAATAGCTTCATTTCTTGGTGAGTTTCTTGCCTCACATCAATTTAAAGAAATCATTAATGGAAATTATTTAAATGGAAATAATTATCAGCAGATTTTTTCTTACGGTTTGATTGCAAAGAACATTTGCATGAATTACAGACCTTTTATTGTCTTCAGGAATTTGCTTTTTCAACATATTTCTTATTCTGACCTTGTTTGCTTTTCCATATGATAGAATATAGGAGAAGAATGTAGGCAAAATGTGAAAATTTGTTCTTTGCATGGATTTTCTTCAGTGTTTGTCTCACCCGAGAAGAAACACAGGACCTTTAATGCTTTTTTATTTCATAATAATTTCTACATTAACTAGCAGTAGAACAGTTTTAACTGTTTTGTAATATAGATTAAGGCATACAGATCAGGAACAGATGACACTTAACAATTAAACTACAAAACGTATTTTTAAAGAGGAAATTAAATCTGAAAAATGATCTGAAATTAAAACATCTTCAAACAACATTTATTTTTAGATTCTGAACAGATGTTAAGGAGTACATACTCCGTAAAGAACATACTTAACTGCTTCTACTTTTCCTACTGATATAACTGGCACAAACATAAACCATCATGATTTAAATCTTCAAAAGAGTTGCAGAAACATTATTTCAGGTATTTTTAAATGGCAATGCTGTTATGCAGAGTCTCTGTAATACTTCCCAGTACCTGAGCCTTTATAATTGTGGTTTCTTAATGCTTCTGTAGAAGAACTTCGCGTGCATTTGCCACTTGTCAAGATCAGACTGAAACATTACTTCTTAGCAGAATAGCAATCAGCGGGGTTTTTTTCTACTTAATTTGTTAAAATATCAGCAACATGTAAAATATGGTTTTTATTTAGTTTGGTAGAGAGAGACCTAACATACACTAAAACTAGGTTTTTTGTGTTGTAACTCAAAATGGAAATTAAAAGATACTCTATGAATTTTTATTTCTGATGTGACCGCCTTTTATCAGTAATTGTTTAACACTAAAAGCAGTATTGGTGCTGCTGCAATGGAAAGAGATGACATCAAGGTGTGTGTTAAGAAATTACACTAAATGTGGCATATATTTTCTTTAGCACTTATATTATTTCTGGTCTAATTATTTTTCTGCTGCTTTTCCATTACAGGAGACTCAGCAGATATGTCAGGTAAGGGAAATAAAATTTTAACATCTTCAGGTGTAGTCAGCCTACCTAGTAGCCGTCTACAGCTTTATAGAGCAATAAGTGACGTGAATTCATTTTTAGTTTATTAAAACCCTGTATCAGTCATATTACTGTCAGCATTGAATATAAACAGCTCAGCAAATTGTAAATATAGAAACAATTAAAATGTTAGAACACACTTAAAATCTACTTTTACTGTAACATACTCCCTTCTTGCTGCCCAGTGATTAGCGAATTCTAATACATACTGCAACTGTAGCGTTTCTGTGAACGCCTGCAGGTTTTATAGACATGTTGGGGCTGACAATTAACATTTATTTCAGACACTCAATTGAGTATAATTTTAAATATGCGTTTCTAAAGTAAATTTCATTGAGGAGGCCTAGGTGACTGAGTGAAAAAAACAATCACCTTTCACATTTATGTATGATTGTCATGCAGTTATTACCACTGATCCAAAATGCCTGTTATGATGTCAGTTTAATTTTTTCTGTATCATTTTGGGTCTTTGACAGTTTGACAGTCTTGACTGAGCTAATTTTTATTAAGATGTTGTTTTTTCAACTGTAATCGTAAAAATTCATCACCATCATGTGTGAGTGAGTTCATTGTTGAGCAGCCATAATTGTCTTGTGACACATCTTCAGAGATGCATAAATGTATGTTCATGTGTACCTAGAAAGTATAATAATCTTCGTGTGGATCTGAAGCCTGTTCTGTGAAGAACAAATATACAATGGCATTTTTAATGTGTGTTGACTTCTTTTAAATATGCCAAATTGTGCTTGCTCTAAGGATGGGAGGAAGAATATAGGTACCTTTTCCCACACTTTTAAACTGTATAAAAGAAGCAGTGATGATATGGTTGGTTATTTGAAAGAACATCTCTAGTCCTGCATATAATGCCTGGAGACTTTCCCCCTCTCACTTGCCTTCTTCCTACTGCAACTTTAGTTTGAGCTTATGTATATTACTAAATTCTGTTGTCACTGCTTGAAACCAGCACTCTTACTTTTTCTTCTTTATGGAACCATTAGTCTGGAATCCAAGCTGCTGTCTGCCTTCATTAGAAAGTTGCATAGTTGCACTTAAAACTTATCGATGGCTATTTGGCACCTTTCTTACTGACAACTTCCGCTTTTCTAGTTCCGATTTTCTGTTGTCTACAGTGATGCAGGGGTTCTTGAAGCGGTAATGTTTGTAATAGGCTGGAAATTAAGTTTCGTAATGACTTGGTATAGATTTTCTTCATTTTACTGAAGATATTTTTTGTCCTGCCAGTCCATGGTAGCTTTATCTAACTTCTCTGAGATGGAGATGACACCTTAGAAAATCTCTCTTATGAGAGCAGATGTTGAGCAGCTGGAGAGCTGCTTGTGGACAAGCAGGATGCAATGTCAGGACAGAGACTTTCAGAATAACACCATCAAGTAGGAGGAATCAAGAGTCTATCTTCTCTGTCCTGCAAGTCTTGCTCTAAAAGATTTTGTCAGGTTTTACTCATGAAATCTAGGTGAAAGTTTCTGTCTGCCACCTGAAAGAAAAATTTTGGCCAAGGTTATAGTGGATGTGCACAGGTCAAGGGTAATACAGAGTACTACCAAGGGGAGCGCTGAAGAGGAAAAAACAGTTCAGAGCCATAATAAAGCTTTACCTTCCCTCAACTTTTCATAAGGACAGCAAGGAATTTGCTGAAAATTTTGAGACATGCTAGTTGTTGCCATCCCCTGCCCTTTCTGTTCTAATGGCATGACTATACTATGCTGTAGTACCTCTCAAAAGTTGAGGATAACAGCATGTTGGTGCTATGAGAGGAAATTCCTGTGGGAAACAGAAGAAATTAGGAGGATTGTTCTAAAGACTGTTTTGGAACAGCTGTGGTATTGTGCTTAAAAACTTAGTTTTATGTGGCTGAAATTTTACCTAGGTCCCTGTGCGTACTGTTTCCCATCATATGTGTGCCTTTGAGGGACTAAATTTAGCTGATTAGAAATGCAAAGCATGGAGCTGAAATAGAATTTAGTTTATGTGAATCTGAGTCTATGACAAAACCCAGTAACCTCCAGACTCTGCAGTCAGATTTACTAGAGATCAGAAGTGAAGATGTTTGAGAGAGAATCTTACTGTCCTGGAAACGCTCTAGATGCTATTCAGAAATTGCAAACTATATATGGATTGCAGGATCTTTGGAGAAAGCATTGCATTTGAAAAAAACCTAGCTGTCATCATAATAGAAATGATCACATACATTAGTAGCATGGGAAGACGGTTCTTACTGCAAGGAGGTTGCAGTCCAAACGATGCAAACTAAATTAAATAGCCTACTTCTTCCACATCAGTAAGCAAGCTGATTATTCAGCTGAAATTCTCCTACGAGAGCATGCATTTCAGACAGATGGCCATTTTGTGGAAAAGGAGATTTTGGCCTTGCACTGTAAACTAATTTCTATGTAGCTATCAGTTGTCCAAAAGCCCCATGTAGAAATTGTATTCTTGATGATTTACTCAATATTTATAAAGGTTTTTGAGTTAGCACGCTGAGCTAAGTTTTACTAGGAGAAAAACAGAAGACAGCTTGCTTTCAGAGCTTCTGCTATGCTTCAGAAGTCCAGTAACAGGTTAAGCAAAGTTTTCATCTCCTGTAGTGAAATGAGGCCAACTTCTTAGTCCTACTTAATGATCCTGTTTGCCGTAAATTGGTTTCCAAAGGGAGGCCAAAATCTCCTTTCTTTTCTTTCTTTTTATTTTCTGTCTGACCAGAACAATTTTATTTGTCTTATAAAAAAATATTAACTGCTTCAATAAAAAAAAATCATTAGACATTTTCAAAACATACACTGATTACGTAAAAAAATATTAACTGCTTCAATAAAAAAAATCATTAGACATTTTCAAAACACACTGATTACATGTTTTTGTATTTGTGTAGCTACAGCTCCTTCTATTCATGTGTGGGATGCAATGAACAAGCAGACACTGTCGGTGCTGCGGTGCTACCATTCAAAGGGCGTTTGCTCAGTCAGTTTCAGTGCCACTGGCAAACTGCTGCTCTCCATAGGGCTGGATCCCGAACATACCATTACCATTTGGAAGTGGCAGGAAGGTGAGAAAGTGGTTGTTTTTGTAGAATGTGTTTATGTTGTTAGAGGTATGTTGGCTTGAGTCAATAGCGATTGTAACATAAAAATATCAGCAGATTGAAAATTACTGCAATGAATGCTGTGCACTATGCACTGCACAAGAATAGGTAAAATAAATATACTTACCCATTCTAGTAACTGCTAAATATATCTCCTGAAACTGCTGTGTAAAGATGAAGATAGTTCACTGATTTCTAGTTAGAATAATTAAAGAAAATTGTAGTCTTAATTGGTTTGTATTTTTAAACCATTTCTTTGCTGCTTGGTAAAAGCTCTTTGTAAAAACTTTTTATTCTTCTCTGCTCTTATTTTTCTCTAAAGTCTGATTAATGACTAGATTGTTGTACTCCTAAAATTATCCCCCTAAAATTGCAAATTGCATAAATGTGATGCCGGCACAGCTCCTCTATGCAGCTATGTAATTGATGTCTTAAGCTCTCCTAGGTGTTTTCAGATTGGCTTTGATCTGAGTTCAAGATTTAGGCTAAAGTGATTTGGTCATCTCCTTTCCTCATCTCCTTTCTGTCTGACAAAGCCATGCTCAGATTATGAAACTGATTCTCTAGTCTTAGGGGTTTTTTTTCCTCTTTCTTTGGAGATTTCTGTTGATTAGCTAGTATCTCTCAGAAGTTTAAAGATCAGCTATCGAGTTAAAAAGTGATCCTTCACAGCTTCTCTGTTAGATCCTGTGGAGCTGGACACAATGTCAAACGTGTATTTTTACAGTCTTAGGTAGTATGAAGGATGTGTGGTAAAATTCCATGCAGCAGTTCGCTGCTCTATCGTCAGAAAGTGCCTGTGCTCATGCTTAAGAGTTGATACAGATTCAACACAGCAGCTAAGGATCCAGATCAAGCAATCCTCACATGGGTCAAAACGTCTGATTTTAACACGTCTTTAACACGTCTTACCTTACTTTAACACGTCTTTAAAAGCATTACCTTTGAATCTAAGACTGTATGTAACAAAGTCAGTTTCTGCATTTTCTGCAGAAAGAAAAAAGGTTTTCTAGCTTGGGACAAAATTTTCAGAGAAGTCATTCATTAGCATTTTGTAATTTGTCCAGAGTTTGGGATTTTCAGAGGAGTCATGGGAATTTAAGAGAAGATGGAAACTTACTTGGATCTGAGCTCCTGATTCTTTTATACTCCTGAGGAAATTGAAAATTCTGAGTAGATTGCACCTTCATTAGTTGCTACACTTTGCTACTGGGTCTTATTAAATTATTTTTTTTTAGCTGCATCTTAATTTAGTTTTAATTTAGGAGCAGTTTGTGCTTTTCTCCCCAGCCTGTGTGGTCTTGGATGACTCATCATTCTCCATAATTTTTATATTTTTTTAAACTATAAATGTATATTTTTCTCAACGACTTCAAAATGTCCGTTTTCTTTCTGCCAGGTGCCAAAATTGCCAGCCGAGCTGGTCATAACCAGCGTATATTTGTAGCAGAATTCAGGCCAGATTCAGATACCCAGTTTGTTTCTGTGGGAGTAAAACACGTAAGGTTCTGGACACTGGCTGGAAGAGCTCTTCTCAGTAAAAAAGGGCTGCTGAGCTCCATAGAAGATGCCCGAATGCAAACAATGCTATCTGTAGCTTTTGGAGCGGTAGGTACCTTAACAAACTATTAAAAAATGCATACAAACAAAAATTTTTGAACTCTTCTGCCTTTATTCAGTTCAATGAGACTTTTCTAACTTGCTAATGAATATGTCAGATATTTTATTAAACTCAGTTTAGCGTTTCTAATACCTATCTGCTAGTTAAAACTAATACAGTACAGAACAGAAAAGAAGAAAGCATATGGATTTGTGTGTTTTCAAAAGAGACAAATGTATGTGCTTTGGACTGATAAGATGCTGCTTGGTGTTTAATCCAGGTAAAACAAAGCTGACTCTAGACTGCAGGAACCAAACAGGAGAAATTAGGCTAATTTTATGCCCACCTGGGGGTGATTATATTATAATCTGTATGCATTACTACTCATGCGTGATCCAATAGCATCATTGTCCTGGGGCATTCGTTAATATCTATGACTGTTAAATGACTGCAGTAGTGTTTTGGTTTGGTTTGCTTTGGGTTTTTTTTGACAGATGCGGGCCTTGTTGCTAAGTTCACAGCTTTGCCATTCCAGGAGTTGGTCTGTACGAGCAGCACTCATGTCTTCAGCTGGGCAGATAGCCGCTTTTGTGATGTGGTGCTTCTCTTTTATTGTGTGTGTTACTGTCCTGCTTGCTGATCTGCCTATTGGGTCCAGACTGAATTTATACTATTGATTTTGATTTTTCAAACTGTAACTGGCCTGTGGTTTCATTTTTCATGAGACCATCTCTTTTCCAGAGTGGTCTCTCTCTCTCCCCCACCCCCCGATTTGAGAGAGTCCTAAAAAGCAAAAAGATATTTTCCAAATGATAACTGTTAGACACACACAGCCCAGGCATTAGTCTGTGCACTTTCTTATGGAGGGACAGATTCTTAGTGTGAAAATCAGGCTGTATGATGAATGTCCTGGAGTATGGTATGAGGTTAGTTGAGGATACAAAGCTTGCAAAAGTTTTGTAAAAAGCTGGGCAAACTGAATAAAGCCAAATCCAAATTTGGTGTGTTCTCCATACTTCCTGCAGGGAGCGGTTCTGGGATTAGTTTCCTCCTTGATTTTGTCTCAGAAGGAGCTAGTTGAGATGCTTCTAAACAGGATTTGGAAGCAGCCCAACAGTTATGCTGCATCTTCACAGTGGATCTGCTCCCAAGTTCATTTCTAGTCCTCTTTTATTTACTCATTTATTAGGGCACTAATTAAGACACTCCCCTTAAAAAAAGGATATAGAACATCAATCAACCTCAGTCAAGGCAAGTGTTCTTGCCAAATATATACATGCATACTGTTAGTCTGAAATACTACGCGCGATACTGAATTTGAGAGTTGTTTACATAAGTTAAAATAGTTTTTCTCAATAACCAGTTCCCGTTGGTTTTAAGTCTATCCTAATAAATTTCCCTTAAATTTCAGAGGTAATTAAATTTATTTTTATTACCTTTCAAAAATCGGAAGCAGAAGTAAACAGGCAGCTTTTAGTTCTGAGTTAAGTCAAACTGTTTTCTTCATAAACTAATTGTTACTGTAATCCAGCAAGTACCTTCACCTAACAACAAAAATAACTGCAAGCATAGTGTACGTAGCAAGAGAGTGCAAACTGCCTGTTTGTGTGAAGTGTCAAAACTGTTCTTGGTTTTCTGTTTTTTTTAACACAGTTTGCAGCCCTGATAGGCTGAAAACACAGATAACCCTATGGCTGAAGCTCAAATCATTGCATTTCTTCTTGCAGCCCAGAGCCTATTAGCTACAAGAAAGCATGTTTCAGACTTCGAGAAAGAATATAGTAGCTCATTGTTTTGTCCCTATAGGTTCTTATTACCCCTTCCAAAATTTTATCTTCTACATCATCAAATAAAAGCAATCTAGCCTAAATGCAAATGGTGATGATCTTTATTTCTGAATGTTTTTCTTCCTGCCTTACTCAGAATCAGATGATGAGTCTATTTTTCCCCTTTTCAGAATAACTTGACATTTACAGGTACTATCAGTGGAGATGTTTGTGTTTGGAAAGATCATGTATTGATACGAATTGTGGCCAAAGCTCACAATGGACCTGTTTTCACAATGTACACCACATTAAGAGACGGTTTGATTGTTACAGGAGGCAAAGAAAGGCCGTGAGTCTTCTTTTTTCTTTTTTCTGCATGCACATGTAATCTTTAAAAAAGGTTTGGGTTCATCCCATCTAATACTGGGCAGTTGAGACATCGAAGCTAGAAGAGTAGTCTCTTTCAGATCCCTGAATCAGTGGTAGGAAAAGAAGTAGCCACTACCTCCAAAGTACAGGTAAGCCCACATGAGCTTCAAGTCCCTATTTTTTTCTGTCGATTATAAGAGAAGGCCTCGAGTTGCTAGGAATCTGATCTGGGTGCCTTGCTTAAGTACTTGAAGTTAAGAGAGACGAATCAGAATCTAAATGCTGTACAAAATCTAAATAAATCAGAATAAAAATATGTGTAAACTATCTAAATAGTTCTTCATAATTTTAACTTCTAGAGAAGTCATCTTTCTAAAGCACACATGCAAGCTTCTTCACCATTTTATGATGAGTTTATTTTGGTTAAAAATAATAGGCAAGTGTAAAATAAATTACCTGAATGGGTTATCAGTTATATTGAATTTTCAATTGTACTTCATTACATCAGTCAGGTAGTGTTTGTCCAAGTACAAATACACAATTACCAAAGAGATTATCTAGTTCTCCCTCCTTAAGATGAAAAGGTCTGAACTATTATAATCAAAAGTAATCTTCAAATAACCTTATCATGTTACTAAATGCTGCAATGTTATTTATCACAACATTATTATTTTTGAGAGAAGGCAAAAACATTTAGTTTGAAATACAGCTTTAAACATTAAAAAGTTACCTAGTCTTTGGTGGATTACTTGTTTTTCTGAAGTTGAACAGAGGTTGTTAATCCAAGTAATTTGTACAATTGTGATTAAATAAATGAATGATTAGTTAATTGTCATTTTTTGTGCCAGACATTATACTCATAGTTGTCCCTGATCTCTTCATAGTTCAAAGGAAGGAGGAGCAGTTAAGCTATGGGATCAAGAGCTGAAACGATGTCGTGCCTTCAGACTAGAGACAGGACAAATGACGGACTGTGTTCGCTCTGTTTGTAGAGGCAAGGTAAAGAAAGCATCATGTCTTTAAAATAAAACTTAGAATTTGTGGATTGATCTATAGCATTAAATATATGATAAATTGCTTGCTCTTTCTCTTCTAATTAGTATTTGAAATTAAAGGTTGAGGGAGAAGGTGTCTAGAACTTAACAGCAGAAAAAAAATCTACTTCAGATGATCTTACTCAGGATAATATTCTGTATATATTTGTTAAAGACTAAGGATTTCTATTTTTTTTTCACACTTTAAATATCTGACTTACAAGCAATAACTCAACAACTAGCATCATGATTTATGTACAGCTTTGTACTTTAATAAATCATAGAGGAATTAAAAAAATAAATTATATTTGATTACTTGATTTCAGCAAACCTTGACAGAACTATAGCTTTGGATTATATCCTTATTACTGTTCATCATGAATAGTTAATATATTATATCAGAGATCGTTCTTTCACTGTTGTTCAAGGGGAAAATTCTTGTTGGGACAAGAAATGCCGAAATAATTGAAGTTGGAGAGAAAAATGCTGCATGTAACATTCTAATTAATGGTCATATGGATGGACCAATCTGGGGCCTAGCAACGCATCCTTCCAGAGATTTTTTCCTTTCTGCTGCAGAAGATGGCACTGTAAGACTCTGGGATATTGCTGAAAAGGTAGGTGTTGGAGATTAGTTGTTGTGCAGGGAAAAAAAAATAAACCCAGACTTGTGGTGGTGTTGAAACTCGTCTTTTAATGCATTCTGAGAATAATCCATCCGATAGTGGCAAACTGTTAGCATAAGGTACTTTCAGAAATACTTTCTGAACAGAAACACTTACTCTTCTGGGTTTTTATTTCTTCACAGAAGATGCTGAACAAAGTCAGCCTAGGACACGCAGCTCGTACTGTTTGTTACAGCCCAGAAGGGGATATGGTAGCTATTGGCATGAAAAATGGAGAATTTATTATCTTGCTTGTGACGTCTCTAAAAATTTGGGGGAAAAAAAGAGACAGAAGATCAGCAATTCAAGATATCAGGTCAGAAAATATAATGCCTTTGTCTATTGTAGTATTCTAGAAATCTGTATTATTTTGAGTTTTAAAAATACACTTTTATGTTCTGAGGAGCATTGCAATGATATTTCAGAGAGCTAGAATCAGTGAGTGGATTGTGGAGTTTGTGTGATTACTCTGATACCAGGAACAAAAAGGAAGGAGGAGATACATGAAGATAAGAGATAGCAGTCAAAAACCAGGCAATATCATAGGACAAGTGTCAGATGATAATGCCAAGGATTAGTTAAAATGAAGTGTGAATGGGGAAGTAAATGGACAATAGGAAGAGACCATCCTAATCAGGGGGCAGGTGAGAAGGTGTGAAAAGGAGCAGGATGAGATGGTGTGTAGGAGGTAAAATGAGATCAGAAGTTTATGAAAACTGGATGTGAGAGACAATGGAAATGCCTGTCTGTCAGTTTGCTCTTTGTTGTCTTTTGTTAGAAAGGAGTTAGCAAAAGTAAAATTTTGCTTTCTGGTTCCCGAGTCGGGGACAAGACTTTTCCTTCTGTGAGATAATTGATCGTGATCAGCTAAGGGAAGCTTCTGGAGAGCAAAGTGGGATGAGTGAGAGAAATATGAGCAAACAGAGACCTTGCTGCAGGAAAGCAGGAGAGCCCTGCTGGGAGTTAGGGCGTTGCTGGAATCAGAAAGCTGTCCCAAGGCATGCCTCAGAAATAACAGAAATAAACAGAGATAAGAGAAATAAAGAAACTTCCCTAGTAACGCAAAAGGGGCTGTGAGGAATTTGTTCAGCTCAGGAAACTACTGGCTTTCGAGACTAGAAAAGAAAACAGGATAAAAGAAACTACTGTGCAAAGACACATTGGGCAGATTAAAGGTTTGATTTCACATTTTTTATTCAGTACATTTCATCTAGAAGGTCTGGCTTTTCTTCGTTTACAGCATTTCATTTTTCTAGTTTGTAGCCTTGTAACTTTAGCATTGGAGAGTCAAAGTCATCGGGGTATGTCACAAAGTTGTTAGACCGGTGAGATGGTAATGAGATCAGATAATGTACAGAGTTATTCCATAGATGGTCCCAGTTCACTTATGTGTGACAGCTGTACCAAAATTATTGCCACCTTCTGCTGCATATACGTTCCATGAAAATTTTGTTTCAAAAGTTATTTTGCTTAGCAGACAAAATACTCTGCCTCCCTCTTTAGTTCTGGATAGCGGATACTTGAAATGCAAATTTATCTGTGCTCAAATCTTAGAATCTGTTGCAAGTGCCAACCTGTGTTCATAAAACCCTGTTATTTATTCAGGTTTAGCCCAGATTCTCGTTACTTAGCAGTCGGTTCCAGTGAGAATGCAGTGGATTTTTATGATCTGACTTTGGGTCCAACACTAAATCGAGTCAGCTATTGCAAAGATATCCCAAGTTTTGTGATCCAGATGGACTTCTCTGCAGATAGCTCTTATCTCCAGGTATCAGTCATTGATTGTTCAAGATACTGAATGGAAAACATACTCGTGACAGATATTCTGCAAGTATTCTCCTTTGACAGCTGCTAAATTCTGTGATGAAATGTGGGAGTGTAGTAGGTTACTGTCACTAGACTGTTACTTTCTTGTAGTGATAAATGGATGATTGTCGTGGGTTAGGCCACTCCGGCAACTAAACCCTATACAGTCCCTCTCTCACCCTCCCCAACCCCCAGGGATGAGGGAGAGAATCAAAGAGGAAAAAGAAAAGAGACCCGTGGGGGATGGGAGTCCCATCTGATGGGCAGCTTCTGCCACCCGGACCTCCCCCCCCCCCCTCAAGCCCTGGCAAAGATGAAAATAGTTATCCTTCCCCCCCCCCCCCCCATCAAGCCATGACAACGATGAAAATAGTTATCCTGGATATTAAATACAAGAAATACGCAGGAACAAGAAACAGATTTCAAAATCACTGTAATGTGTCTACCTGCCTTTTTACCTCTGTGATGCTGATGGTCTATCTTAAAAGAGTCTATCATTCTGTAAGCCCCAGGGACCTGTGAATTCTTCATCTCTCTGACCAGAGTGGTAGCATTACACATTGTTTCAGTGCTCACCGTTGTGGAGCAGCACCAAAATCATGGTGTTACAACTCCCAGCCACAGGGCTCAGGACATTTCTTAAAATCAAAATAAAGTAGGCATACTTTGCTTTCTATGTTTTGTTCACATCTGAGAGGAGGAAAAAGCTTCTCTCATTATCAAATCAACACCTACAGGCTGAAATGTCGGTTTTAATGATATGGGTTTATTTTGCCTTATTTATTTATACACAGACAGACATACTAACACACACAAGATATGTAGAGAATGAATATGTGCAGAATGTGAGATGTTACAATTATTTTTTTATTAATTAGACATTTTAAGATTTTGTATGATTTATCACTGTGGATTTTTTATGCTTGTGTAGGGTTTCGAGAATTTTCAACTCATTGAGCAAGTTTCATTAATAGCTAGGTTACTTATAGAGTAAAAGAAAATGCTTTTCAAAGCCCTTTAGAATTATATTTTCATATTTTCAAATGAGTTCATACATCCTGAATTCTCTGTGGTCATCTCAAAGGTCTCTACTGGGTCTTACAAAAGGCAAGTCTATGAAGTGCCTTCAGGAAAACAGCTTGTGGACCAGGCTGTGATTGACAGAATAACATGGGCTACTTGGACAAGGTAAATGATTCTGATATTTACACCTGTCAAAACACTTATTACTTCCAGGAGAGGCACTTACTGTTTAAAAGCATATTTCATCCCTTCATTCAGTCAGATACTTTCTTTTAATGCACCCATCTGCTCTGGCAACAGATCAGGTAAGTACAGGAGAAGACAGTACATAGCAGATTCCCTCTGTAGAACATGAGCTGTTTGACCAGTGAGGGCATCCGATAAAAACTGATCTCTCTAATGTGTGCCTTTCTATTTGCTGTGCATCTCTAGCTTCCTTTGATGTATCTCCATCAGCCTCAGTAGTTTTTCATTGCACTGTGCAAATTACTTGGAATACCGCACTATGTGCTTCAAAAATAGTGATTTAAGGATAAGAGTACAGGGAAAATGAAAACATATCAAAACATGAAAAGACAATACAAGTGATAATTCAAGTTTTATTTACAGTATTACACTAATGGTATCTGTATATTAAAGTTGCTATTAACATTTGCGTATTAAAAGGTATACAAAGGTACTTCTAAATACCTTAAAGTTGTTATATTTCGTTCAAAATAGACTTAGAAATTGCACAAAGAATGATACCATATTTAATGTTTATTTCACATTTAAAGAATTTATTTTATATTCTATGCAAATCTGATTTCCTGTGCCTTATTTCAGGCTCCTTTGCCTACTTTCAATTATTGTCCTCTGATTAGCACCCTCAGACAAAAACTGAGAATAAATACTTGAAAATTTTCCAAATATGAACCACTTCAAACCATAATAATCCTGACTGTTTGCTGCAAGACACAACTGAAACAAAGAGCTTTTCAGAGAGCTCTGAAAACTAATGTTGTGACCTTTTTGTTTTCTGTTTGGTTAATCTGTTTTTGTCACCTCTTTGGTACAAGAAAAAGAAACCTGTGTTTTCTGACCCAATTCAGTATGTCTGAAGTAAATAATTCCTTTGTGAATATAGTGTACTGTGCTCTAATTTGGGGGGAAAGAATCACAGAAAAAATGCCAAATCATTGGGGTATTAACAAATGATGAGGTGTTTGTTTCTGTGCATTCTTGGAAATATGCGTATACATTATAAGCACAGCTGAATAAAAATCAACTTTTCACAAGGCTTTACAAAGGAAGTTTTCTATAAATGTCTGGTTTGGGATCTTAAGATAATTATGTTTTCTATTTAGGACGATTTCTCTTCCCCCCCTGATTATAATGAAGAATCTTTACTAGACTCAAGGAAACTTTTCATTTTATTGATATATAAATGTTGCAGAATCAACAAAACATAGTTATAATGAGAATATACATATTTTTATCTTCCAAAAGCTGAAACTTATTTATCTAATGCTTATGCTATAGTGCAGAGGAGGGCCACAAAGATGATCTGAGGGCTGGAGCACCTCTGCTATGAAGACAGGCTGAGAGAGTTGGGGTTGTTCAGCCTGGAGAAGAGAAGGCTCCGGGGTGATCTTATAGCAGCCTTCCAGTACTTAAAGGAGGCCTACAGGAAAGCTGGAGAGGGACTTTTTACAAGGGTGTGTAGTGATAGGACAAGGGGCAATGGCTTTAAATTGAAAGAGGGCAGATTTAGATTAGATCTAAGGAAGAAATTTTTCACTCTGAGGGTGGTGAGGCACTGGAACAGGTTGCCCAGAGAAGTTGTAGGTGCCCCATCCCTGGAAGTGTTCAAGGCCAGGTTGGATGAGGCTTTGGGCAACCTGGTGTAGTAGAGGGTTTCCCTGCCCATGGCAGGGGGGTTGGGACTAAATGATCTCTGAGGTCCCTTCCAACCCTAACCATTCTATGATTCTATGACATTCTATTTTTAATTGTCCTTTATAATTTTTTTTTGTCATATACTTCACTGGACAATATTAGTACAATTGATTTCACCTCAGCTTCTTAGTGTTGTCATGGGCCATGTTGTTTTGGGAATTACATTATAGAATCATAGAATGGTTTGGGTTAGAAGGGACCTCAAAGATCATCTAGTTCCAACCTCCTTGCAATGGGCAGGAACACCCTCCACTACATCACATTGCTCAAAGCCTCATCCAACCTAGCCTTGAATATAATGAATCCATTTCAGAAGCAATTATGGAATGATATAAAAATTAATTACAGAGTAAAATCTATATGAGGTGTGTATGAGTAAGAATAAAATCACATTTTTATAAAACCAGTTGCAATATGAGAGCTGCTTACTATTTCCTTATTCTGTTGTTTTGGCTGTAGTTTTCAAAAGAATCACTTGCTCTTCTCTTTCAGTGTTCTAGGGGATGAAGTAATTGGAATCTGGTCCAGGCATGCTGAAAAAGCTGATGTAAACTGTGCCTGCGTCTCTCACTCGGGAATCAATCTTGTAACAGGCGATGATTTTGGCATGGTCAAACTGTTTGACTTTCCATGTCCTGAAAAATTTGTAAGGACTTGTTTTTGCATCATTACAACAAGAAGTACTGTTGATGTTATGGTCTCGTATTGTTTCTCTAGAAGATGTATGATGGAAATATTTCCTTCTCTGAATTTGTAGTTTTTTTAATGCATCTATGTAACTTTAGCTCTATGGTCTCATAAGCATGCTTTTTACCTCAAAGTTTTCCTGCCATTTTGTGCAATAGCTCTGGCTATAAGCTCTTGTGGGTGGTAAGATTGTCTGCCAGTCTGCATTAGCATAGTGCCTTCGTACTGAAAATCCCTCTAGTTTTATTTATCTTCATCTCCAGTCTCCGTTTGACAGATGAGGAAGACAGCTGGTAATTTTAGTGCCATCTGTGTATTTCCATGGATGGAGAGTTTACAGACTTTTTTGCTAACACTAGCACTGTTAATTTTCAGGGTTTGAGAATGCACATTGTGAACTGCTTACACACTTATAATGAAAATAATTTTTTCAGTGTTAAGAATTTTACACAAAATTTAGAGGTTAGTCCTGTGACAAGACATACTAAATTTTATTATGTTGGCTTGAGGATTGTTCCCAATTTGCAGGTGCTGTCCCATTTGGTGACAGTTTAATCTGCGTTGCAGCTCAAAGTAGTTCTTCTTCAGGAGATCTTTCACTTTTGAAAACCTATATTACATTCTGAATGATAGAAATATGTGATGAAATAAAAAAATAGACAATAACATGCATGCCTTGGTTGATTTTGGAGGACACAGAGTATTTAGACTCTTATTTTATTGTTGTTGGGTTTTTTTCAGGCGAAACACAAACGATTTTTAGGTCACTCTGCCCACTTAACAAATATTCGGTTTACAAGTGGAGACAGATACGTGGTCAGTGCTGGAGGAGATGACTGCAGGTATGTACCCTTTCCACTGTTGTCAAAAACTACACAACAGTGGACATGGACAGTCCATAACAGTATAAAGCTCAAGTTCAGAGTCTTCGTCTTTTTATCTGCGTGCTTGCTTTTCTGTTTGTACATGAAGAAATGGATATTTGCAGCAAAATAAATAGCCTAGATGTTAATATGAACAGTTAAGATTTAATACATTAGAATATGTTTACATCTGTATTCAGAGCATCATACTTTTAACTGAAATTTTTCTTTTGAGAAATGTGTTAACCATTTCTTTCAACAATATTTTAGTCTCTTATATCTCATATTTAATACCTTTTTGAAATCACAGCTTATTTGTTTGGAAATGTGTGCATATGCCTCATTGAGAGGGATCGTGGAGACTTGCAAAGAGGACACTGCATGAAGTACCAGGCATGAAATACCCAGGATTGCAATGTGACATTCTACTGTGCCCTGCATGCCTAAGAAACGGTGCTGACCCAAGACACTGAGCAATCTGTCTCGGAAAGACAAGCATCTAGAGTCTGACAGAAGGATGGACTGCAACAAATACGCTGAGGCCGTTAGGTTTGCTTCAGTGTCGGGTAATCCGGGTTTGTATTTCACTCACTGCCAGATGTTGAAAGTGAAATATTTGGATAAAAGGGAAAAATTAGTTGTTAATCAATGTACAGTTTCACAGTAAGATCCTGGGGTTTTAATCAAGAGATGTTATTTCTGACCTAGTGCTGTACATTGATCTATTTTCAGCATGAATGTCTCTCCTTTAAGTTTTGGGATCCAAGTATCATAGGAAAAAAGAGTATTCCATATTTTATTACTGAAAGAAACCATATATTAACTCTTAAATATATAGTATTTTAATAAATGTTTAATTATTATAATGGAAATTATATTTCTATGACTAGTCAAAAGGAAACATCATCTGGTGAAGCAGAAAATAAGACAGCTGATTCCTTGAGACTTAAATTCTGTATTTAGAGGCCTGGGTCACAGTCATGTCTGGTGAAAGCTGTTGGATGTGCATGATCTTCATGGCTAATTTAGTGTTTTTGTTGCACTTAAACATTAAATTAGTTCCGTGAGCAAAAATAGATTTGCTCACTTTGCGAGTGCCTTGCCCACAACCTAAAAGTCTAACTCCAAGTTTTGCCTTGTGAATAAAAGTATTCTCAGTGGAAGAGGGATTATTGCTGTGTTACTTGACTGGGCTGTTAGCCTCTGTGCTGGAAATGTGGACGAGGGTGAGGATTTTATAGGCTTAATAATTGATAAAGCTTGGGATGTCACCAGTTGCAAAAATAGAATTTCATAGCAATATGAATTGATTTTATTTTCTCAGCGTCATAGGGGGGATTCAGAGAGAATAGAAACTTTCCAAACGTCATGTTTTGTACATTCGAACTTTTTAACAGAGTTAGGACTAGCTGGGAGAGGTCTCAATCAGATGTCTCTCCCGATTGTAAAAAATGTCCAGTCATATGCTTCTTTAAATGGACAGACCTGCTGTCACCTGTAGCATGAGTGTGTTTATTCTATCCTGCAACATAACTGAGACTCTTTAAGTTGAAAAAACATTTCAGTGATAATGAAAACCTGAACAAAGCTGTGTTTTTGGTACAAGTGAGGAAGATTTCGTAGCTGTTTGTCTCAGTCATGTCATAGAGATTCATTACAGACTGAACCTGGGTTTTAATCAGTGCAGTTAATTTTCATGCATCATAGAAGGGAACGGAAGGGAACTCATTATCAGCACTACTCTCATAATGACATTCTGCTGTCAACATAAAGCTCTTTTTCTCTGTGTAAGTCAGCGTTGCTTTAACAATGGCATTTCTGTAGGTCAGTCGGTAGGCTTTGATGTTATTCACCTCTTGCATTCTCTTATGCCAGATAAAAGTAAAAGAGAAAAAAAAACCTGATGTCTTCTTGTAAGCATCTTGTGTGCATGGTGGTTGTAGAGGGAATGGGAGGGTTTACGTATGGAAGAGAAGGGAGAGAAAAGTTAATGAGCCAGACTTCCGTGCTCTCCTAGGCCCCAAAATGCTTGTTGTGTGCTATACAAAGCTAGTTACCCAATGGTCTTAGATGATATATTTTATGTCAAGCTATAACACGTATTTATTTTAAAGAAGTTGATAAACTAAACAATTATCAGGTTTCTCAGTGTGATGGTTCTTAGCAAAGTCTTGCCAGTCATGCAGCTGCTATTCTACAGGAGCAAAAAGACTCCGTGGATTTGGTCATGAGTGTACAGGGAGATCTTGCCGGTAACGTTTTTGACTTCAGGGGAATTGCATATGAGAATCAAGATGAGACCTGATCTGTCTCTTAACTTTGTCGCCTGCCTGCCTGTTTTATGTGAAGATTAGTATCCGGCATTTAAATCTTCTCTAGGCCAGAGAACTCGGATGCAGTATGCTATTCTATAGCTGTGATTCTCTCCCTTATTAAACACGTCTGTGCAGGACTTCTTGACTTGAAGTAAGATTTGTCCTGCCTCTATTTTAAAGTTGCCTTTTATCGGTTCAGGTTGGATGGCTGTTAAGAGCTCCCTCATAGTCTGTCCTACTCAGAACACCAGATCAAAGTCCAAATTTTTCTGCCTCTCTGAGTTTTCCCTTCAAAATCCTAGCTTTGTGTCTCCCAGACTCATGATCTTCTGCAGGCCTGCACCCAATGAAAGAGGTATGTGGACCATCAAGAGGTTTGTTCTTCTGATCTCTGTAACTGGTCATGTCCTCTTCTCCTCCCTCCCCCCACCCCCTTCATTAATGCTGTGCCTCTCCACGGATAGTTTGTCCGTTGGTGCTTTTGCCCTGAGGAATCTCAAATGCCACGCCAGCGGTGCAGTGCCAGCGAGGAGCTGAGGGGCGAATGGCAGCGGGGCTGCCCTGAGCAGTGCCAGGCTGGCGGCTGCAGCACGAGAGCCTGAGCCTCCAGCCCTCCCTGCGTCTTCGCTCTCTTCCAGACCGCACCGCTGCTGTAAAGGGCTGAGATGGGAGCTGGAAGCTGAGGAGCTCTTTAAAAACAAAGCTACCAGCCTTGTTCCTCCTGTTGCAGCCAGTATTGGTAGATAGTATTTTCCCTGGAAAACTGCTCAGCGGTTTGCCAGGTAAAATGGGGTCAGCCAGCTGGGAATGGTCATGAATGTTGAGGAGAAGAGTGAGTAGAGCCTCAGCTGGAGTTTTCTTCCTTTGGAGCACGTTTTGTAGGACAAGCTGCGATTCTCTCCTGAAGAGAACAGCTGACTCTGAGCGCAGTTAAAGATGGCAGCTTTGTGGGTTTCTTGGTCATTTCGTCTGTGACGGTGCTTGTTACTGTGCCTCGTTTGCTGTTTACATTAAATGCTACTGTAGTAACTTGCTAATTGTTGCCACCCGTGCTTGAAGCACGTGTCTATGGGAACAGTCTGTCTGTTTTGGTAGGCAGTGGGAGCTCGTGACTGGTTGCTCAGCAGAAAAGGCAGAGGGTGACATAACCCCGTGGGATAGGTCAGGGAAGAAGCTGGAATGTGGTGGGACTAGTGGCAGCCTTTTGTTCAGAAGCATCAGAGAGAAGAAACGTGGGCAGGAGGGCTCTGTCCGAAGCTCGAGAAAGCAACAAGGAAGAGGAGGCAAAAGTTCTTTGTACAATTTAATCACTCATAGTGGATGATTTCTTTCTGTAGCTTGTCTTTCTAACTCTTTTCTGGCTAGCAGCAAACATACATCTTTGGGATCTTTAAAGTTAGCAGTATTTTTTGTGATAAAATAAATAAACTAGAGAACTGATTCAATACAAGCAAAATAACATTTCACTTAAAAAAATAAATGTGCCCTTGAAAGCTGTTTAAATGTGCTTAGAAAAAAAGAGAATGAGAGAAAGAGAATTCAGCTCCTAGGAACAAAAAAAAATTCAAAATAAACACATTTAGAACTGAAAATTGCTATAGTGCAGGAACTGAGGAACACGGTTGAGATTAAGTCAGGGAGAACAAATTAGCCAAATGTATTTAATTGTTTAGATTTGGAATCTTAATTTTTTTATTCTTAAGGAGGCAGTCATTGTTATAGGACTTTCTGATTTTGATGGACAAGGCAAGAGGTGGTGTAAAACCAAAGAGCATCTCAGAAAATTAAGGCTACTTGTATCACTTGTTGACAGCTGAAGGAAGGCCCAAATTCAGAGTAGCTTCTGACTTTGCTCAGTGTCGGTTTCAGGGTAGCAAGATTCATTTCAGAATAGCTCTGAACTTCGTACAGGTCAGGTTAACACTGACCTGGAATTCTACCATCAGAAAGCAGACACATCACGGCCAAGTTATCTCCTGAATCTGGAAGCTAGATCAAAATAAAGGACTTCAATACCAAGAGCAGGGCTTTGATAGCGTTCAGGGGTGGCTTAGATTAAAACTGTGGTCACTTCTCTCAGCTGCTGCCTAAACCCCGCTGCTTGACTTGCCACTTTGCCAAGGCCAACAGCACCCTTCTTTCGACAAGCCCTGCGCGTCTGCCTGTGCAGCACCTCGCCTGCTCTCTGGCTGGCATTCAGCAGTGCTCAGGTCTTCAGCTGCACGTGGATGTCACTCCAGGCCTGTGCACTGGGGTCCCTTATTGGACTTGCTGTGCCTGGTGTAGTAGTGTGACAAGCTAAAGGGTCTTGGTTTCAAATATAGTTCTTATATGGGCAAGGTGACATGTTTCCCTGTTTCGTTATCGGTGTCACAGATGTGAGGAGCCTTAATCTTTAAAGCTTATTTCTTTAAATTCTGTTAGCATAAGCTACAGACAAATGTCATTTTGTCAGAGTTCTGGGCAAAATGAATCATCCCGTAGACAATGCAGAAAGGACGGTAAGATTGCGAGTCACGAAATAAACTGCCACGTCAGTGATTTTAACATCACCCGCGGTATTGCACTGCATACGCTTTTGTTCTCACAATTTTCTTATGCTTCCTTGCAATCTGCTCTGTTTTCCTAAAGTTTGTAGCTCCATTAGATTTTTGCTCATGTGCATATAGATATGTGAGCTTGCCAAAGCCTGCTATGCATTCTTTATACCAACCCCTGCGGTGTGGTTAGATAGAGCCCGTTTCTTTGGTTGTCTCCAGCTTCTGCTCTTCAGTTAACTTTGACTTCAGCCTTAAACCTTGCATGTCTATTTCAGACAAAAAAAAATAATTGTTTTAGGTGTATAATATGCATAAAAGCCACAAGAAGTTTCCTTGCCAAAATAATTTGTAACTAAAAATTAGGAGGTGGGTTTGATAGGGCTTTTTCTCCTGTCTACTTGATGCTAGAAGGGGTAACCACTCGCCATCCCTTTCTCAGATTACCAACAGCATATCAGTCATAGCCTTGGTCTGGTTTTTTGTTAACTATTA